CACCTGGCCTGCCACTGAGTTATTTTTAGAGTTTCAATTTAGCTTTTTCCGTTATCCCTTAGACTTTTGACAGCAATGAATTCAACATCATAACAAGCCAGCCTCAAGTGTTTGCTATATGTCTTTCTATTTTGGAATATTGACGACAGAATTACATATTTTTCTTTTCAAGACGATATGATATTCATTTATTTCTTTATTTTTCAAGTACTATAAATAACTATAAGAAGTGCTATAAAAAATTAAGAACACGTACGCTTTGACTATGAATTGAATACAAATATTGAGTATTGAGTATGGTATAAATTTCCTTTTGCAGTCGACAGGATTTGTGTTGATAAATTAAAATACATCATTTTATATGAGTGGAGAAGGTGACACATAGTAATTCTGCAAAAAATCAAAAACCATAATATTTCGTAGTTTTAGCGAAAATCATTTAAAACTACCTAAGATTAGCGAAACGTTTCAAAAAAGGCATCAAGTGTTATAGAAAATTAAGAGCACGTACGCTTTGATTGTAAACTGAATACAAAATGAGTATGGTATAAAATTCCTTTTGGGGTCAGGATTTGTGTGGATAAATAAAATACATCATTTTATAAGTAGTGGAGAAGTTTGTACACATACGGTAGTAATTCTGCAAAAATCATAAAACCTAATATTTTGCAGTTTTCTCCTTTTTTGGTAAGCAAAATAAAAGCGAAAATTGTTTAAAAAATACATTCAGTTTGGCGAAAAGTTGTTTAAGAGGCATCGAGTGCTATAGAAAATTAAGARCACGTACGCTTTTTGCATACGTAGGTCAATTAAAAACTATATTTTGATTTCTTACGTCACAGTTTACAGGGGATATTTTGTCAGATTATAAATATAAGGTCAAATGACATCATAATCAACCAATCAAAAGTGTCGGGCTTTGCGGTGGCGCGTCGAGTCTATATATACGCCTCGTGAAACCAGTTTGTCAGGTTCATTCGAGACTACRAGAATCAAGAGTACTAGTACCAGTCAAACTGGTTTATCTGGTCGAACAGAACGGACGATAGTATGACTAACAATGACGAGAATATGTTTTCCACGTTTTACCAAGGTTTGTTTGACTATATTTTGGATGTGAATGTTTTCGTTGTGTACACAACTGCCGTTGAAAATCTTGTATATTGTCTGTGTTATTTGAGCCGTTTCATCTGTCAATTTTACTTGCACAAAAGCTYGGATATTTATAAGAGCAGTTTTCGCATGACTGTGAAAAGCTCACGACACAAACACGTTCTTGACACGGCTAGGGATATGCCAGACCAATCACATTGCTCGAGAATTCACTCTCCCAGTATCCAATCACATACCCAGAACACGGCATAAACACGGCGCGGACACGGTCATGCCAAAGTCACGGCACTTGCGCGAGAAAAAAMTCAGCCAATTAAAATTCTAGAAAACATCACTATCACGGCACGGCACTGAGCTTTTCACAGTCATACGAAAACTGCACTACCCCTTGTAGGCAATCGATGGAAATCGATCATMGAAAACCCAATCGATGACTCGATAGATATAATTAGTTGATTGATATCGATTGGTATCGGACAATCGATGACCAATCGATATCTCACAAGACGGAATGCCAATCGATGAATATCGATCATCGTTTGATCATCGATCAATATGATATTTGGTTATTAGATTTGATAGAAGGTCACAAAATGATGCTCGTGGCATCGATTGGCCATYGATTTCCGATACTAATCGATTAATTAGTATCAAGAGAATTTTCTYTTGTTAGTATCGATTAAATCGATTGTCTATTTTTTAGTCATTTTTCTACGCCGGGATATTAAAAAAGGAATACCTTCTAGACTATTATAGCTTAGTACTGTTTTATCTTTGTCGTTATAAATGTTTGGAGCCGAGCTTTCCGCTTCACGATAGCGATTTTGGACAAAGGTTTTTGTCAATCCTGACCTCAGAAGCAGTCTCCAGAAGCTTGGAGATCAGATCGTACTGAAAAACAGTATGATTTGCTTGACTAAATTCGCGTTTCGATCCATGTTTTCATCAGTTCTTCAATGTATTAATATAATGCTGAAGATTATATTTTGTATATTTTGATTTCTATCAGGCTTTTAGTCATGGACACAGTCTAATGTATATTTCGATTTTGGTTTCAATGTATTAGTCTGGGATGCATCCTTGATGTCGTATTTTTCTTAATGGTTTTTATATATAATGGTTTTCTGTTAGTTGGCCTATAAATAGACGTGTTTTGATGGGTGGATGCCACTGGATTGTTCGRGATGTACAAGTTACATTAAAATCTTTCGTTTTGCATGTGCCCTGTACGTTTTTCATAATGCCATATGCTAAGCTAAAAGACATTTAAAMTTAATTTAAGTTGTTTAGTCATCTGTCAAGGACTTAAACGACAGTTGTCTACCGCCGTCTAGAATGCATTCTAATTTCTAATACATAAAAAATTACAAAATTTGCAACGTGAAATGAAAGTGACTAAAATCAAWTTGGAAACGAGAGGAATGTGTTAAATTTGATACCAAAAAAGGATGTAAATAATTCCACTCCTACTCATCCAGACTGACCGGTTGCCTCGTGTCACTATCAGGTTTTGTTTCATCGGACTCATCGACAGATGTTATTTTCACCAATATTTTTGACCATCTATCAGTATAAAAGCTACTTGTTTTTTTTAAAAAAATGCATGGCATGTCAACCTCAAAGACATATATAGCRACAAAAACGATCGTTTTTCAAGTAAATCAATATCTGAAAGGTCTTGGCCTGACATCTATGTCCATAATGAATGCCATGAATCATTAACGTGTTCCAAAAACAGGCCCAGCAAGTAAATACAGACAAAAATGAATTCTGGGTATTTCTTCCTTATTTAGCATATATGACAGCTAGCTGTCAAAACTGACCAATCAAAGAGCGGGGGCGTGTATCAAATATCCCGGGTTGCCACGCGGTCATTCAGTTAGCCTTCAACTTTGGTAGGGTAAACTTACGCTCGCCATTTCCTTACCCCAAAAGAATTTGACAAAAATTTTCATTTATGACATTAGAATTACACGTTTTTCGCTTAAGTAAAGCAAATACAACACTGTATTWTTGAATTCAGTACTTTTGACTGAAAATGACAACGGAATACAGCGAAATGCAGAAATTTTCAGGTAYGTGCTTCGAGTGTCAGCAGGTTTTGGCGGCCTTTCATGTTGCTTGGTCAAATTGAATTAAACTATTTTATGGTGCTTCACCAAGAAAATTGATTAAAAAGAAATGTTTTACAGTTGTTTACWCTTAAAGCTAAGGTTTTTCTTTTGCGTTTAAGGTTAGACTTTCTCGTAAGGCATTCGTAAACCACAGTCGCTGAAACGGCACCTGGTAGACGAMCTCTTGCATAAATTACGTCCTTTCTCGAGCCGGAATGACATTTGTTTGCTTTCTAATTCCAAACTCTCGCCGACAAAGAATTTAGACCTTTCAATCTGTATCGTATGCTTTAATACTTGAAGCAGTTTGCGTAGTTTCGATGCGAATTAATGAATTGTGTTATAGCAAGATAGATAAATCAGATTTATGAATTTAAAATAGCCTATATCTTTGCGTGATTTCTGTAGATTTTGACGTGTACTTTGAACTGATATATTTGTTTGAATTCAAATAGTAAGATCACGATTGCAAATCTTATGACTAAAATTATGCAAGCCATTATAAAATTGCTCAATACCCTACAAAACAATAGCCATTTAAATCGACCAYAGTTATTGTAATATTTTAGGGTGTAGCTTGGCGGTAGACCGGTTTCATATTACGGAAACTTAAAAACTATTTATTTGTTTGTTCAGAGCCGATTATGACAAGTGATGAATCAAACCTTGCGACACTCCTTGGACCACCTTTGACAAATGAGGGTAAGTCTTGCAAGAAGTTTACTAGAAAATTYCTATCTTAAGTTCTGAATGCTTTCTTTATACTTTTCCGTTTTCTATATTGCTGTTTTTTGCAGACTGTGCCTCTAGGCTTGCAAGAAAAGACAAACTAACTTCTGTTTTCCCTTTTCTTTATTTCCTCATACTCTTTTGTATTTAGAATTTGCTTTTATTGCAGAGATGACTATGGACAAAGAGGATTTTGACAGYTTACTATTTGGCAATACAATAAATATGGATAGCTTGCCAAATGATGACAGGCTTCAGTCCATAGATTCTGGGTTTTGTGAAGAGCAGACTGTAGTTTCCAATGACACAGACTTTGAGAGTTTTGCAACATCTCCTTTTTCATCTCATTTCTCAAATTCTCCTTCTTCTGAATCTGGCATTGAAGATGGTGATGAGGAGTTTGATGGAAAGAGTATGGGGAGCCTGGATGTTTCCAGAGATGCAACTGATTTCCTTGCAACAACAACAGAGTCTTTATTCCAAGTTCCAGTTTCAACTCCCATGGATATAAATATGCAGCCTGTGCAAACAGATCAGCAAAAGTCAGAAACGAGTGTGGYAGCTGCTTGTGAAGAGCTCAAACAGCTCCTCTATACTTTTGTGYCATCTTCATCATCAGCACAGACCTCTCCATCTTTTGCTGACTTGAAAACCATTATGTCAGAGACTACAGGGAATACCTTGACAACAACAACATTGCCAGTAACACTACCAATGCCCATGTCCATCCCAAGCTCTATTTCTGGAATACTAAATGCACCCGTCTCCACAGTTGGCTGTAATTCAAGTACAACTATTCAACCCTCCATTCAAGACACAATATCATCCATAGCAGATACTGCGAATCTTACAAGTGCATTGAATTCTCTTGAAGAAGCCAAGTCCAACTCTGCTTCAAGGTGTACCAAGAAAGCCAGAAAAGGACGGGAAAAGCCTAAACTTGTAATCCTYGATGAGCCAGAAGAGGTATTGATATGTGTGTTTGTTTTTTGTTTTACCTAAAATATGTAAATGTTTTAGAATTTTATTGTATTATGAYGATGCTAATGCTTGGGTATTATATTTAGAATTATAGAGCTCGATATGAAAGTGAAGGGTGCAGGGGACCAATACATGGTTCAAGTGAAAACACATACCCAACAATTAAGGTAAGGACTGTGTTAAAAATAGTTTCAAATCATAGAACACAATCATGTGAACTGTTCTTATCTCATTATTAGGTAACTGGTCACAGTGGGCCAGTATGGATCACAGTTTATCTGGTGACAAGCTCAGGTCAGCAACACTACCATTCAATTCATGGACCAGGRTCAACTAAGGTCCCTTGTAAAGAAGTTACGCTTCCAGGAGGTATCCCAGCAGTGCAGTTGCTGGTTGATCCTGACTCTAAAATGACTGCTGTGTAAGTAACAACGTCTGTCCTTGCTTTACAGATTAAAGTCACCTAGGTTAGACAAATTTTAATGATTACCTTTGCTTATTTTCTTTGCTTTCACCCCATAGACTTGATTCGTTGAGCATAAGAAGGCTCAGAAATTGGGAAGGAGACAAAGAGTTACGAAAGAGAGGGRTAGACCCAAGAACATGGAAAAGAGAACGCAAAGAAGCAAGGTTGTTATTTCAGGCTGAAATCCCAGCAAGTGATGGCCAACCTGAAATTAAGCTAACATGCAAGTCCAGAATATTCCAGTGTAGTTCATGTAAGTACATGCATTATCATATATATTGTGAAATTTATGATCAATTAAGATATTTTTTGTAATTTGTTTTAGCTGGTCCGACTGGCAACCCWGAAATCTGGTGGACTAGTAGAACTGAGGGTTCAGTTGAAGGAAATGAAGAAATGGGCCTAATTGGAAAGAAGTTTCCATCAGGTAATTTGTTTTTTAATTGAACCTGCTGTTAGAGAGGTACCCATTACTACTATTATCATTGCAGTGTGACCTATGAAGTTGAAAGTCTCGATGCCGACTAGCATTTCAAGGATCATTAATCAAAGAACTGCAATTGAAAAACAATATCTTGATGGAAATTTTAGGCTGAATTAGAGATTTAAGAGGATTAAAAATTATCTTTAATTCAGTCTAAATTCTCCTTCAAGATATTGTGGTTTTTATAAATGGCAATTATTTGATGGTCATTGAAAAGCTAGTGGGCAAATGAGACATCAAAAATTCGTGGATCACACCTCAGTGATAATCCATGGTAACAATTATTGATAAGTTAGAAAACATCAAGCAGTTTTAATCCTTGTTGCTTATATGGATTGCTTCTGTTTTTATAGGCTGCAAAGTAAGGTTTTCAGTGGATCTACCTTCTGGTGAGTTTTCCATATTCAGTTGGATTTTAATGGATTCAAATAATACTATGAATATGCAGTGTTGTGTCAAAGTTGTTTTACTGATTGGGTCGTATGTTCAAARCAAACAAAAGCTCTAGTTATTTTTAGTAGTACATTAGCAGCCAAGTGCTTTCTTTTTGGATTCCCTACAAGTAAATTTTGTAGTTTTTGTAATTTTTTTTTTTTGGCTAATTTCTATTGTTGAGAGAGAAAGGACCCAATCATATAAAACACTTGCTTTATTGTGTATAAGCAGAACCATAGCTTCTTTATATGTAATGGTGTGATGAGTGGGGAGAGCCTGATAAGAAGTGGTGAAAAGCATGAACTAAAAAGTAGTAAGTGAAAAACAGAGTGCTATGGGATGATTGCTAAAYATGTGTGTGCTTGAGTTGTCATGAGGAATTTGAGTGGTGTTGAAGAATGTCAGAACAAAGTGAGATAGACTTGAAAAAAATATGGGTTCTCTAGCTATGGTTCAAGCTTGGAATTGATGCATTAACACTGTCACTAATATGCCTCAACCAAATTTGTCATTCAGTAGTGTTTTTTTTCAAATATCGGATTTTGCAAAGTCATGCAAAACTAAAATTGAAAGGTATTCAACTCATATCTCATCAGTAAAAACAAAGCGTCAGATGACAAAAGGAAGGTCAGAGGTTGTTTTGTTATTTCTGACCATTAAAAAATTCTTTCCATTATTATGTTTATTCAGAGATGTCTGAAATTTTAAATAATAAGGCAAATGTTTTCATTTGAGAAAGATAAAAAAGCAAACTTTTGGCCAATCAGATAAAAATATCTTGTTAAATAACATTACATTTTGATTTGTACTGTCACAGCTATTGTTACAAAATTGTTTTTTCCTGTTTGGGCTGAAGAACGAAAGTTTCGGCTTGCTCGGCTTGCCAATATTTTGACCATTGTTTGAGGCATATTAGAACAAATATTGGTTTGAATGAATTGTTTATTTAACATTTGGAATAGTGGTGCTTGCTGTCAAAACATGTCAAGAGAAAAGAGAGTGAGAAATTCATTATATGACCGTTAATAAAATGATTTGTTTCATTATTGAATGCTGCTGTGTAATAGTGAGAATTTTGACTTCAAGCACCACTTTCAATCTGGATGGGACTGTAATGTTTATGATGTTTTGCTTTGGAAGACAGTTAATTGAGTGGGTGAGGGGGAGGGGGATCAAATTGTTAACATTCCTTGCAGTTGCACTTACAGAGTTGGCACTGCATTGAGACCACAATGGACATTGCTCACAAATTAAAAAATGTCAGAACAGAGAAGGAATTTGAATTTCAGWCAGGACAAGGTCTCTGCTGCTTTAGTTCTTAGATGCATAAGAGGAAAAACAAACAGTACGAAGAATTTCTTATTAACTAAGAGCTTAGGCTTTAGACATATTGTCCTTAAATCATATACCAACTTTTTCAATCATCATGAAGCAATTTTGAAATCAAAGTATTGCTAGCAAAATGCAAAGTCATTTTTAAATATATTTTTTCTCATTTAGTATTTTTCAGTTTTATATTTTCAAGCAGGCTGCATTTACAACGTTGACAGASTAATAAAAACATTCACTAAATCAGTCAGTCTTAATCAAACAATCAAACATGTCACAAATGCATTATCATGCCACTCACCCAATAACTACACAATGCAAGCTTTATTGAAAATCTAGACCATATTTATAAAAAAAAGATTTAATGTGTGAGCAATCCCTTTGAGGTTATCTGCCATCTTGAGGAAAATTATTCAACAGTTCTTTACAGTGGAAGGCAAATTCCGCATGAATTTTAACATCACAACAGTGAGACAAAGTTTTGTCTTTTTTTGCTTTTACCTCGGTGAAAATGTCAGCATACAGTAAGGAAGTCAATAACATTGAAATGTTTTCAAAAAACAATAACATTATTTTTGGAAAAAATTGAACGACATCTCCCATAAATACAATAATAAGAATTTGAGTTTTTCAGTGTATTTATATAATTCCTGTCTGGTGCTGGCATTATCAAGGTTCTTACCATTTAAGAYTTTAAGATGTCAACTTGTCAATGATGATCAGCAAGTATTGCATATTTTTTTATTAAATAGCTATCATCATTGATACTAATTGTTGAGTGGGAGCTGAAGTAAATTTCTTAGTCAAAAATTACTWAAAAAAGTATAATTTTCCCTATCAAGTCTTGGTTTATTTGGCACTCAACCTAAGAATTTACTTAGCTAATGCTAATATTTGTTAAGCTTTTGAAAATAAAATACAAGTAATGGAGCAAATATTTTTACTAATAACTAATGGGTGTGAGAAAGACTGCTTGTACGTTCAGAGGATGTGAGAAATTTTTTCGTTGAATGTATGTCTGATTCCGATTTTTTTTTTTTTTTTTGATACAGTACTTGTATTTTAGGTTTCGAATTTATAATTGAGTGAGGATGGGGAGAGCAAGGGGGTTAAGTTACGGGGGCAGGATGGGAGGGCTGTCTAACTTGGGATGGACTACCAAGGGCATACTGTCATTTAAATCATCRTCAAATCATACCAAAGTACTGTTTTCTTTTCATGTAGTATGCCCTTGGTCATTTAACCTATCAACATTAGGCACACGTTGAATGTCTGTTGTTTAGAGTGGAGTGGAGTGGAGTGGAGTGTGACTTATAAACATGCATGATAATCAAACGAGCTGTCAGGTGTTGAGTGACCTTTGTTAAGCCCCACAGATTAGATGATGATCAACCTTCAAAGTAAGGGCATACGACATCTTTGCAAAACCCACAWTTGTTTTTATAAAATATTTGAGATATAACGTGCGTGCTGATTGGCTGGCTACCGTGTTTATATCAGAGGACMGAGACACGCTCGCGCGAAATAATTCAAAAATATTTTATAAAAGCGATATAAAAYGTCTGCTTGTGTATATRTACTGTGATATAAACACTCTGGGAGCTGTAGAGCACTCGAGAAATCAAAGAAACTCAGCTACGCCTCATGTTTCTCTACAACTTCTCTCTTGCTCTACACCTCCCATCGTGTTTATATCACAGTATACAGACATGCGCACCATTTTATATTCCTAATGTGAAACATTATGTTGAGCATTGGATTGTTTATTGAACGTTTTAAAAATGCAAAGATGTTGATATGCTGGGCAAAAAAGGCCATGTTGCTGGAATTTTTAAACCAAAGCAAATTTTTAGATTATGAATGGTTTTTTTAATAGACAACCAAATTTTTTTTCGGTAGAAAGAATAAACAGTTGAGGAGGTTGATCATTTTTAAGCCTGTTAGTGAGTCATAAGTGGTTGAGAAAGTTGTGCAAGTGTGTTACTTTAAAGTATGTGTCTGTCAGTTTGTGATGTCACATCAAAAGTTTTACCTACATAAAAATTACACCCATATCTCCATATATATGGGTCCAAAATTTATCAYTGTACTTACTTGCATACACCTCGTTATATATGTAGCCATCCCAATTTAGAAACTATTGTGTGTGATTCTTGGCTGTTGCACTTTTACCCTGACAGATTTTATCGTAGAGTATCAAAGGTAATGTGCTTTAGTCTGGATCACACACAAGTGGCTCAATTCTCTTAAAGGGAGGGTTTTTGTCGGGAAGTTGAGCCATTTGGTATGGGAAACTACTGTAGTATTTTAGCATACGCGGAAATGTGGTGGCCTAATGTATTTGCATTTCACTTCTTATAGGAGCAATATGGGAAAAATTTGCTGATGTTGATAAGAGCAAATCCCATCAGGTATGTTAAACTTTCAAACATTTATCTATTATGRATGCATGCAAATGAGATGCAAATAAGACAACGAGCATTGTATTGMCCCGATASCCTCAYTTCTRTGATTCTKAAAATGAAAGATTATCTTATTGCAAGCTCAGCTGTAATATAGCTATTGAGGGMGATTGGAACTAAAGAAAATATGAACTATCTAGGAATCATGAGATGTTATAAAATTTGGTTTAATTTTAATGTTTTGGATAAGATTGTTTTTTTTGAGGTAAAGTATTAAAAAACAACTTGAAARAAGAAGAAAGAAAAATGGCATCTAGGAATGTAGGATAGCGTATAGTCTGCTGACAATTAACCAAATTAAACTTTTCTTTTAGGGTGCCGCAGTTATTATTACACCACCTTACTGCGACCAGGATATCCTTTTACCTGTTACAGTCAATGTTGAAATTGTCAATGGAAATCAGGTTAAGAGTGGGAAGTGCAGTGAACCCATAGAGTTTACTTACAGACCTCGCAAAGAGATATTGGCTTCTATTATAACAAATGGACAGAACATTACAACTCTGGGAGGGACTAACACCAAGACCCAGGGAGGGACAACCATCACAGCACCACAGACTCTTAATTCTTCCATGGCCCAGCCTATCGCACCGGCACCTGTTTCTACTGTCGTACCTGTTGCATCAAAGCAACCAGATGATAATGGTGAGTACTAACATTGCAGGAAAATAATCTAATAGCTTAAAAATATTGTGCTTAAATGTATTTCATTTTAATTGCAGACTGGCAAAAGCTTTGTGTACAAATAAAAAAGCTTCAGTTAAATGGGGAACTCAACTCTGAACAAATAAAGGTAAGCTAAGAAGAGTAAGACTGTACTTCAAGTATAATTGCAATTCTATTGTTTTTATTTATTCGTTCGTTTGTTTATTTTTTTTTTTATTTATATTGACCAGTAGTAGTTATTAAGTTAAGATTAAGATTATTTAACAAAAAAAGTGCTCCTGGATCTATCATCCTGGATCTAGCATCAGCACTGTGCTCCATTCAGTAATAAAGCACAGTTTTCAACCAATCAGCATGCACGTACTATCCTAACTATACAATAATGAAAATCTTGAAATTGTAATAATATTATWTTATTATTTTATTGTTTCAGAAACTTTGCGTATTCATCCAGAGAAGAGACTTGCTTCTTCTGCAAACGTTTCGCTCAGCAAATAATGCAGGTACACAGGAAGAACGTTTGACAAAGCTTAAACAATATTTAAGTGGATTAGTTGGAAACTAAAAATAGTAATAATTATTATATATAGCTATATATTTATACTCAAAAATAAAAAGTTGAAAAAATTGAAATAATTTTGGAGAAAAGTATACAAGACTGTTGTCCACTGTGTTGCATAGCATTTACAAAATAGAGAAAAACTTCAATTGGCAAATGATTCCAAGTCTGGTATCCTTTTCTTACACATGTATAGATGCTGTGGGGAGAGGGCTGTCTCTTGTAAACAAGCTTGTACATTTGTAAAAATTGTTTATCTACAAAACTAGGGTATTTGCTAGAAAGAGAGTGTAATTCGTGTAGTTTGTAGGTTACTAGTAAGATCCACAGAAAACATGTACAAACTAGCTCAGACAAGACATTGAAAACAAGTGTTAATATATCACAATGATAAGTTATGTAGCTAAACAGGTAGCCTACTTTGGTGCAACATAGTGGTCTTACCCTTCGATTTCCTCTGCTCCTATAATATTACTAGGAGCATCAGTTTGAAATCAGGGATTTAGTCCATGAAACTGTTGTGGCCAAGGTATCCCAGAGTGTTATATACTCAACTCTCTGTTACTAAGATAGCTAGTGTTGATTGATTGTAATAGTCTTAATCATTCTGACATGAATGGAATGCTAGGAATATTATGGATGCACTGATAATTTATTTATCCATATATATCCCAAGATATTATGTAAACCCCCCCTTTTTACCTATTCATTGCCCTCTTTTTTTCTTCCCTTGCAAACCACAAGAACATTATCAGTGCACCCATAAATTGATTCATTTGCAGTAGAAGTAGTCATGATAAACCACTAGAAGTTACGTCGATTTAAGAAGTTATAGAAAATAAGTTATTGTTAAGTATTTATTTCAAAAATTTGTAAAGAGTTTTTATTAAAAATGTTGAAAAATCTAAACTTGTTTTTAGTCCTGCCATACTGTAATATATTCATAGCCTAAGGCAATAGATACAAACTATGCATTTTTCTAAAGCACATAAACAAAAGACTTCCTTTGAACGATAAATTAGAAGAAAACGTATATAAAAGAAAAAATTCCAAGGATTACTCAAAAAAGGCTGTCTGCCATGATGACTGCATTGATGTTTGGGGGTTTTGGAGTGGAAAAAAAATTGTTTTTCAGCATAGTTATTGAGATGACGAGTAGCTTCTCCCTTGCACGTCATTTCTTATGTCTACTATGTCGAAAAAATACTACATATAGCAAAATAACAGCTAAATTGCAGTGCCATTTAACCAGCTTAACACTCGATCAAGCGCGAAGTTATACTCGCAAAAACCTATCTTCTTGTCACGTTTCAACCTGTACTATTAACCTTATCGTTTAACCTACAAGGATGGCTGAAATATCACCTTATGCTTCCATGCCAATCAATCATCTTTATAAAATACCGAAAAATATTCTGTAAGCTTTAACATTTCAAGTTCAGCTTTAATTAAGGAATTCATTAATTGCGAAGCTATGTAAATGGTCAATAAACCCCTGCATGTAATTAGATATATTAATAATATATATATATATGTTGTTGTCTTTTCCTTCCCTTTTTGAAGTTCATTCATTCAAGTCCATTTATTTCCATTGTTTTTGTTTTGTTTTCTTTCTTGCCTCCGTCACTTTTATTTTCTTTCTTTACTTCTTGCCTTCGTTTTTCTTCTATTTGTCACGGTTTGCAATTTTTCAATTGTTGCTGTCAAGAAATTGAAAAAAAAAAAAGCATTAGCCATCTTTTACATACATCTTTTACATCTATTTTGACGGACATATTTCGGAAATATGATAGTCTGAGAAACACTTCTGTGGCCATCCTTTGTGCCCTTTGTACGACATTTGGCTTAACAAAGTTAACCATCTTTGTTCCTGAAATTTCGAGTTCTTTACCCTTCACTCTGCACTGAAAAAAAAAAACAATGTCTAGTTAATGAAAAATATATAACAGTTGTCACTGTTTGGGAATTTTATATTTTTCATTTATATGCCTAACTGCAACAGCCTTTTTGATTTAATATGGATTAATTAAACTTGAACAAATTTTACTGAAGAACACCGATTCAGTTTAACATATTTTTATTGCTATTTTGTTAAATTAAGTAGAAAAGTTAGGTAGAAAATGTCAAGGTATTTTAATCTCACTGAAAATATTGCTATTTTGTTAAATTAAGTAGAAAAGTTAGGTAGAAAATGTCAAGGTATTTTAATCTCACTGAAAATCTACCAGATGTCTTTTTTTCCCTCGCCTTTTAAAAAACTTTTTTGGAGATTTTTTTTACTATGGATGTTGCCATTCTTAGTTAAAGCATTTTGCTTAAAAAGATTTTGACTTTCTCATTCAATACTAAAAAAACCTAGCTAAAAACACTTTTTTTGCGCGCGCGTGCTATGGGTCTAATTAGGATACACGGACTATTAGCCCWAGGGGTAGAAACTTGGACCTCTATTTGCCCAACTTCTTGATTTCTCGCAAGCCTAGCCATATAGCGTGCTAGTCGACCATCAAAACTCAAGCCAAAATAAGGAAGTTTATGTCTGGCTTTTTCATATACTTGAAATATCTCATTACACTGGAACTTCCAAATAATTYCCTGACGGAAGAAAGAGCATTGTCATAGAAGTTTATCTTAAATATTTGAGTGTTTAAAGTACGCACCTAAAAGGAGTAATCAATCAACGGGAAATTACAATGACATGTCTAAATTACCTGGTAATGAGTACTAAATGCAGCAAATTTTAATCTAAATTTATGATTTAGTATTATAAGCAAGGCGTCTAAATGGCGGCCGTCAGCTTACATCGTCTGTCGAGGAGAAATAAATGGCTTAATTTTTATACCAACATGTGGTCATTGTACAGGTATCTTGCATTTACATAACCATTGTTCTACCATCAAAGCGACAGCTGGCTGCGAGATTATCTGGTGTTTTTAAACATTCTAATGGACATTGCTTTATTACCTATTCTAATTACAAAGAAATGTTCTTTGTTCTAGTTTATGCGGTCTTATTTTTGCTCGGCGCTTTTTGTTTTTAATCCGGCATCTATTTTCCCTATCCGTCTCGCCCTTTCCGCTTGTGAATAGACTAGAACAAGAATCGGGCATATCGTATATGAACAATTCATTCTATCTTTCCTGTACGATTCATTTTACAGCTTAGAATGGGCGTGTATGATACGATGGAATTCACGCAAACTGTATTATAATTACGTGGAGTTTATAAATTTTATTTTTAAACTAAGTACAAAATTAAGTGTGAAATCTGACGGTGGAAGCGACGATAGAAGCGATCGATATTTGCCTAAACGTATGCTTTCGTGACTTCTTCACTATCTAAATTATCTTGTAGATTCTATCACTAGAAAACTGTTAAGACTGGCCAAAACTTGAACTTTGCAGAATGTTTACATGGCCTTTRTGATACTGTGTCAAATTCCATTCGAACAGATAAAATAAATAAACTAGAATTTCTCAAATTAGTGAAATTACTTCGTCTGTCTTGATTTTTAAGTCATCTGTCGTTATAATCACATCAAGTCAACTAGCAGATTGATTGATGCTAACCATTCGTGTCGTACTCAACTTGCGCGCGCGGCGTCTGAAGCATTTGTATTTATGTATGACAGCATTCAGCAACTGTTTAAACCCGATACCCCCGGCAGTGAGATTCAATTTTAATTGAAGGCCAATTTTCTTTTCCATACAGTCCTCTGTTGCTCTGGCTGATGTTGAATGACCAGGTGCAAAGGTGACGTATGATAATATTTGTCAAACAAGTTTTTGAGATTTGGTGTGAAATGTACTGTCAACCAGCTTCGGCTCGATAGAGGTGTAAATGAACCTATTGTATGCTGATGTGGAGATACCGGGCAGTATAATAAACTACTGCAGCGYTACTGGTGTTTAAGCAATCGTGTCGTCAGTCGGGCACTTTGTACCAACGTAGAAGACGTCCGCGTCACTCAAGTTCCAATACCTGTTTGTATAACTCCCCTACGATATTGAGTACACAGAGATTTGCGTGAGTACTCGACAGGAGCTGAAATGATAGCAGTGAAAATTTCTACTGTGGTTTTGGCGTTATGTTTACGTGTTGTATATGCTGATGAGACGATCGTAGTCAACACCGTACCTATACAAGTGCCATATGGGCGATCTGTCTTCATAAACCCAAACACAAAACTAGTCATAAAGAACCCCTCGAATGGTCACTGTCGAGTGAGAGTTCTAAGGGATAATCCATTGTCACAACGTAATGGATTTCTCTTCCCTGATGTCTTTCCTTGTGATTTTAAGCTCGGGGATGTACGGTACACTCATCTGGGTTCAAAATTTCACACAGGAGATTTCATCAAGTTACAAGCTCGTGTCGATACCCAGGAAAGAACAAAGATTGTTCCTTTTGTCCTGAAAATCTTTGTACAGTTTACTCCGATGGAAATAGTGCAGAAAAATCTCCCCATCGTGGTTCCTGAAGTCGGTGGAGTATCGTCTGCTATCAATGATGAGGTCCTTGGATTTGTTTATGCTTCGGAGGGTCACATTTGTCATGTTTCACTGCTTCGGTTCCATGTAGTTCAAGCAGCTCCAAGATATGGGGATCTCCTGAACGTCACGACAGACGGTTCGTCGAGGAATCGTTTTGAGTGTAACGACTTTCTAACCTCGGATATTCGTTACCATCACCGTAATCTTCAATCATCGAACCGCGACTATGTTTCACTGGTTGTGGAAATATCTGATAAAACTTTATCAGTAATCAAGAGRGAGTACTTTCAAATTATTATCCGCATTCTTGGTGCGCGCGTTAAYGAAAGGCCTACTGCATCTTTCGAAGCCTCGAATACCTTAGAAGTCAAAGATCACGACCTTGGAGCGATCACTAGCAGTGTTCTCGCGGCAGTGGATCTGGAGACAAGACCAGATGACATCATTCTGAATATAAGCAAGCCTCTAGGAGCAGAGGAAGGAGAGTTGGTAAGTCTGGATGATCCTTATCGTCCTCTCACAGCTTTTTACCAGAAAGATATTCGAGATTTCAAGATCGCTTATCGACCACCTGCGATCAAAGACGCTAAGCCACACATGTTTCAAGTGGTGTTTAATGCCATAGATGGCGAGGGCGCGATCTCTGATCCCATCCTTCTTCTTATCATGGTCAAGATGACTGATATAAACGCTCCGATTGTTACCAGGAATGCGGGCTTGAGTCTCTTCGAGGGGCAATCACGGCCTTTATCGAGCGCRCASAGTCTTAAAATCGCTGATAAAGACAACATGAATGACGTGAGACTCCAAGTTGTTGGGGGACTGCARCACGGTGACCTAAGGATTATGGGTATTAGGATAACTATTTTCATGGCGACGGATTTGGATCATGTTGTGTATCATCATGATGGCTCTGAAACGTACAGTGATAATGTCATCTTTCGCATGACAGATGAGACACATGTTGTGGAGTTTGTATTCCCAATCACTATCGCTCCGGTTGATGATCAAGCCCCGGTGTTGATATACAACACTGGACTAGTGCTAGACGAGGGAGACATGGCAAGGATTGACCAATATATGCTAAGCGCRATCGACGTCGACTCTGATGACATGAAGATAAGTTTCAAGGTCATGTCGTTACCAGTTTCAACTCGGTCACCAACCCCAAAGCCAACCCAGTCGTATGAACAGGTTGGTATGCTTTGCCTACGAAGGAGAATTCTTGAGAGTAGTGAGACAAGGGACTGGGTTCTTCAAGCAGATGGTTTCTACGAGAAAAACACCACGTTATTCACTCAAGAGRATCTCATAGAAGGACGAGTGTTCTATAGACATCTTGGCGGAGAGGCGTTTCAGGACCAAATCAACTTCGTAGTTTTTGACGACGCTAAAATACCCAATATCTCKCCCATCCAGGCGTTCAACATCATTATCACCAAGGTTGACGATCTGGCACCTAGATTAATCCCCGGTAGCACTTTAGTTATGTCAGTTAATGAGAWTGGGTGGAGCGTTTTAAACAAATCTGTCATACAGTACACTGATAATGATTCTGATGACTTCAAGCTGATTTACACYATTTCCAAGCCGCCCTACTTTGTCGACCGAACCAACTCCACTCTCAAAGCGGGGCGTCTCTTCCTGGTCGGCAGCGGTGTTGAAGTATCCAAGTTTACCCAGATGGAATTGAATCATGGGAAGGTTGGGTACCGCGCACCTGATATTGAGATAGGTGTCCTTCCAAGACATGCGCAGTTCGAGTTCTCCGTATCGGATCCCGCGGGTAATAAACTTACAGGAGAGGTGGTGAGTATTACTTTGAACCCTGTGAATAACCAAGTTCCGAGCGTGACTGTCAATCAACTACGAGTACAGGAACTGAACGAAGTYATTATCGATGAAGGAATACTCATGTTAAAGGACCAAGACACGCCCATMGAGCAGATCYGTATGTCTTTGACAGTGTTACCAAGGTACGGYKTGTTGCTAAGGGACTTCACTYCTATRAAGARACATGATTGGTTCACGATGGATGACGTYAGAGGGTTAGCTCTCTCATATSAGCATACTGTAGCAGGCGAAGTGAGCGATGAGGCTGGTTTGTTAGTAGATGATGGGGTCCACAAGAAGGCGGCCRTGCTAGAAATAGGTAAGTGGGCTTTGTTAAACGTGCACTACAKTCGTACTTATTTGTATTTCTACACGACCAAGATATTCCAGAGCCCTGACATTCTTACTACGCATGCTCCGGCACCAAAATGCCATTTCATTGAGCATGCGCTATAAAATGAAAGGCTCTTGTTTGAAATTTAAAACCGCTCTATTCCATTCACCAATACTTTAAATTTCTCAACGGTAATCTAGTAAATCATAATTTAACGCGGCCACCAACGAAGGGCGTCATCAGTAAACCCCTTGCATGCCTTTACCTGTATCAGAAAAGAAAAGTTTACTTAGCTACTGCATAAAGAAGAAAGACAGTTCTTAATACGTAGCTCAGCTGGCTTCATTGGAGTCCATCCTAACACTGAAATTGCTTTCCATGTCTGCGCGCGCCTCATTCCAGCATGCGAGATTGCGTAACTTTAAGTTTTAAACCCTTGAAGTTGATGGTYTTCAMAGCCGCCATGTTGGATGAATTTAACAAAARAGTSGTCATTAGTTTCTTTTGTTATATCAACAACAACATCCAACATGGSCGCCGTACCTTTTGTTATTTCATTCTCTTGGTAATGATCGAAAACCAGAATTGATTGATTACAAAACAAATACTTTTTGTTCTTTTATTTTCTGCTGCGTGATGTTGACCACCAGCGAAGGGTCGATTGGTGTGAGAGGTGAAAATACAATCTCTTCATACCTCGAAGTACAAAMCGAATCGTTTATATAATTCGAGTACTGACACTCAGTATGTGTAMTACACGGCATTCAGTTGCACTGAAATGGATTCCTGTTATTCTACTTTGTTTCATCCAATCACAGCATCGAATGGTATCCGCTTCGTTCAAATACGGTACGCCAGAAATGCTTACAGAATTCTTATACATAATTTAGCATTCATGTCTGGGATTAGGCCAACAGATTACGATACTGAATSAAACATATCTTAGTAAATGACGTCTGAATGCATCCTATCTCGATAAGCAAAAAACATTGCCTTTATCCATGTTGCCAATTTAGAGAATTTTGGTCATTAATTTATAAAATCAGGCGGTTTTCTCTTAGAACTGCGCGGGAAATKATAAGATACTGGCGTATCAGTTACGTATGGATCAGATAGTATACTTAATTTGCTGCATACTTGACTTAGCTGGAGTATTCTTTCATTGTGGTTGTAAGGAATACAAAGCCCAGTCATAAACACAATCGGTTTTAATCTTGATTCGTTAAATATTCATGAGATGTAGACTTATTAACATGTCCACACTCTTCTCCCCTCGAGGAAGGTCTTATTTCCCCCTCGGGTCAGGGGTAACCAGTCTTCACCATTCTATTTTATTTTCAATTTTCGAAACTCAAAGGAATCTTGGTAAATTTATCCTACATCAAATTGTATTGCAAAACTTAGGCACACACAAGAGACTACTCTTGCGAACTCCTCACCGTCCCAGAGTTCTATGCGGAAGGCGTTCGTTACTAAATGCGCTATATAAGAACCCCATTATTATTATTATTATTATTATTGTTGTTGTTGTTGTTGTTGTTATTATTATTATTATTATTATT